AACGGACACCGGCCAATGGCTATTTGAACCATCTAGTTGCCTTTTTATAGTGCTGTGGCTCGGATCGGGGTTCTGTTTCTGTTTCTTGCTCTGTTTCGTTTCGTTTCGTCATGTGTTTTGATAAGAAATGTTGGCCATACAAATTGTTCAGCCGTTGCCGCTGAGTGTCTGAGGGCTGATGCACTTTCCACACACACACCCCCCACCCGCTCCACACTGGCTGCACTGCCTCGATAAGATGTTCAATTAAAGAGCTCTCTGTACAACCTGTGTACAGTGTGGCACCCCACCCCAGTGCGATAGTAGAGTCAAACAGAGTCACATTTAGACGACAGTAGCGAGCGGGAGAAAAACTCTCCGTCAAGAGCAAATATTTGTGCAGAGAGAAATTAAACCAAACTGAAGGCAAGCCAAAAAGAGGAGGGGGAAAAAAGAGCGACAGGGCATTTTTACCTGACGGCGGCAATCAGCGAGCAATTATGCGATAAGCGGCGACCCTTATCAGCAGCAGCAGCAGCAGATAACAGCCACAGAGCCATCAGGGAAAGGGAAAGAGACAGCGAGAGAGAGTGAGAGTGAGAGAGGTGCTGGTGGGTATTGCTGGTGGGTTGTGAGAATTATGAAATCAGTATACGGGAATTTTCGGGCCTGTTCGAGTTAGTTGCCCTCCATTGGCGTCTACGTGCGGTTGTCTCTCCTTTTCATCGTCGCCCCATTAACGCAGTCGCGAAGTGCATTCCGTGTGATTTTTGTATGATTGATTTAACTGCTATATACATACATACACATATATACTTGATATCAGCTCAAACTATGGATATTGTGTGACATCTGTCGTGTGATCAAAGCCAAAGTCAAAATCGAAAAATCGAAAAGTTCAGCCATTGGATATTGTATTCGTTATTGGGGGGATTAGTGTGAGTATTTAACGAAATCTTTTTAGCTATTCATATTTTCAAAAAAATATGTAGCTTAAACTGTTATAATTTGTGTTATACTGTGGCTAGTATAACACAAACTATAACAGTTTCTAGTTTATTACTAACACATTTTCATTCTGAAACTTTGATAATTTTTTAACTGTTATAAAAACTCGTAAAACTGTTATACCCAAGCATACAAGCCCCCGTATAACAAAAATTATAACAGTTTCTAGTTTATAAGCCGGAATTATTATGACATTTTCATTCTGAAGTTTTTATATTTATTAAACTGTTATAAAAACTCCTAAAACTGTTATACCCAAGTGTTAGCTGTGTACTTTTTCGAGCAGATTTCTTCTGCTTTAAGACCCAAATATTATCCGTTGCTTGTGCACCCTAATCTATATACAGAAACCTGTTTATCCCCCCCAGCCACAACGCTGCAGATAGTTTCTCTTTGCACTTGGATACGCGTATGAGCCATCGTACACACACACAGACACGTAGATATGGAATATAACAGCGACCCATTGCAAAGTAAACCACACAATAAAGCAACCAGGCAAAACGTATAAAAACGACACAGAGATAAGATAAGGAAACTCGCTCAACAAGTGAATGGGATTGGGGGATTGGGGGGAGTGTGGGGTGGTGGATACGCTGCGAGTATGTGACTCGGACATATGGAGCTATGGAGGTGCTATGGTGAGACCGGATAGCATGTGTAGTCAGCCAGTGGTACGTCGGTTGGCACAATGCACCCATGGACAAGTGACATCTTTACGAAATGTCAACGGCGCGCTGTCATCTGTCAGAGAGAGAGAGAGAGAGCAGGGGAGAGACGCAAACGCAGAGACACACTGACAACACTGAGAAACAGTCACAGCAATTGGGGTCAGAGTGTCCTATGGCAGCCGGAATGAAACGAAACGAAACGGGACCAAGAGCAAGACTCAGTTGCCTACATTTGCATACAATGGACAAAGTTTGATTATCTCCGGACAGGGGCTGGGACTGGGGCTGGGACTGTGGGACTGGGGCTGGGCAGGGACTGGCATCGAGGGTAGGCAGCTGGGCAAAATATTGTCACTAAAGTTAATTAAAAAACAGCCAGGGGCACACACACACACACACCACACTCTCTCAAACACACACACACGAGCGGGAGGATAGGAATCTGTTTTAATAAAAATGCCAAAGGGTGGCTAGGGGTTGGGGATTGGTGGTTGGGGGGCAGCTTTAGGGGTAGCTCTCACTGTCAACGCTGCGTGGGCAAACAAAGGCAAATAAATAGAAAAGAGATACTCAATAATCAATAGATAAATAAAATTACAAGGTGACAGCAACAGCAGCAGCAACAGCTATGTGGAGGATGGCACAGCTGGCTGGCTGGCTGCTCTTCACCCCTAGCCGAACCCCAACCCAAACCCTCCCTAGCTGTGGGGCGGTTCGTTGTGTGTCGAGACTGTTAAAGCTGCAGGAGCCACATCAGCAACAGCCAGCAGCAGCCAGCCAGCAGCCAGGAAGCAGCGCCAGCGACGATAACTGCTCATAATGCAGCAGCAAAAGGGGGAAGCTTCCACGCTCATATACTGAACAAGGGAATACCCTTTATGGATATAGATATAGAACTGCATAAGGATATATTTGCCATGGCATTGTAGCTGTGAAGCCTTTACCTTTACCTTCACTGCAATCCTTTACCCAAGTGCAGCTCATGCCATAGCCGAAGCAACTCTGCTCTTTGGAATACCCTTACTCTAACGACGTTGGCGTCGATGTTGTTGTCGTCGACATCGTTTGATGGCGCTAGGATAAGCGCGTGGCAAGTGGCAAGGAGCAGAGGCAGCAGCTGAAGCTGAAGCATGCCGCTGGCAAACCGATGGCTGCCTTCCTAACACGCTTGTTTCAGCTGGCGGGCGCGAGGAGTGGGCGACGCGACGGAATGATGTTGGCACGTCTGTGGGGCGGCAGGGGGATGCAACAAGCGTTTCATGGCACGACAACGATGCGGATGATGGGGACGCCAACGACGACGACGACGACGACGACAGTTGCCAGTGTCCGGCCAAGAGGAGCGGACGGAGCCGAAAAAAATAACACAAACAAGAAAAAAAAAAAAAAAGGCAAAGGCGACAAAATAAATAAAATAAGCGAAAAACGTAAATAGAAGAGCGCGAAAAATATGCAAGCGTGGAAATTTATTAAAAAATAATAGAAAAACCGGCGAATTTCGTGGCGATTATCTGGAGAATGAGGGAAAACGGCGCATCGTGAGAGGAGTGGTGGCGCGGAGAGCGAAAAGTGTGTGTGCCTGAACTGCAGTGAAACTTTAAAATTAAGGTCGAAAAAACGTCAAAGAATAGGCGGAACTAGCATAAATAAATGCCACTAGATGGGAGCTAATATGAAACTAACTTTAATACGAAGCCAAAACAGTTTGAGGTGTGAAACAATTGATAGAGCTGCAGGCTATAGCATGGGCAATTGCTGGTGCAATTATGGATTTTGGAAATATTTAAATTTACCTAAAATATATTTAGATTGTGATTAAAGCAAGGGCACAATATTTGTGCCACAGGGAAGTAAATGAAAATTCACCATAATATACATATGCATATATGCAGCATCCTCTGAAGATTTAATCCGCTAAGGATCATATTTTTTAATAGTTCAATAAATATGTATAAGTATAAGTGTATAAGTAAGAGTATAAGTACTCTTATATTTACCCAAACAAAAGTAGTAAACAATTTCCAGCTTGAGCTCAAACCCAAATATCAATAAACGAATTTCCCGATTGGGTTTTCGCTTCCGATTGGCTTAGGCTGGCAAAGAGAGAGAGACTGGGAGAGAGAGAGAGAGAGTCTCTCTCTGCCCAAAATTCAAACACAATAAGCATAATGCTAATCGCTTTCCATACGTACCTAGAATCTTGTGTGCAGATACACATATAAATGCCTTATGGATTCCTCTCTGTCTGTCTACGTATGTTCCAACCAAGCCAAACCGTCAGATCAGATCGGCCAATCTGTGCCTGCATCTGTGTATGCGAAAGCGCGTTAATTAAGGCGCCTATGCCATGTGGTCAGTCAAGTGCGACAACAAATAATTTGATTTCAATTTAACTAATTAGCTGGAGCCTTCAACATTATGCGGCCAGCACTGGCATGGGGTTGGCTCTCGCTCTCCCAGCACTCAGCACTCACCACTCACCACTGCTGCACTGCCTGTGCCTGTGTGTGGGGCACTCGAAATGCTTATCTGTTTAGCGGCAGATATAGACATCTACTACGTACATACTAGATATAGATATAGACATGTGCCAGTGTGCCCGAGTGTGTGTATCAAAGCCCAGGCAGGCACTTGAATGCAGACAGACAGACAGACCGACCGACCGACAGTCGAGTGGACCCAAAGTACTGCGGTCAGTCTGTCAGTCAATGTGGAAGGCACTTCCATTGAAATGCGCTTAGCTATGCAGTTGCGCTCAATGCAGTTGGTTAAACCAAAGTGGGTTGGGGCTTTGGTTTGGATTGGGGCTTTGGGGGAGAGAGAACGGAGTTCTTTGGGCTGACTGTGGTGGCTATAGGCAGCCATTTCGACTGTGGTTAGCATAGTGGATACTTAAAAAATTAATATAAATATTTGCATGGCTCTTGGGGGTTGCTCATTTTGGTTTTCCAATCGAAGTGAAAGCTGGAGAAATTTAAGGGTAGTTTTTGGAATTTAAAGTTATTCAAGGAGAAGATCGAAGAACTATAAACAGGAGTTACTTTTACTATTACTATTATATTATATATATATATATATTATATTATATTATATTATATTATATTATATTATATTATATTATATTATATTATATTATATTATATTATATTATATTATATTATATAATAATAAAAAAAAAAATATATATTAATATATATATATAATAATAAAATATATTATATTATATTATATATATAATATATTATTAATTATATTTTTCCTACAATATGCGACATACATAATCCACCTCCTTTAATCAGCAAACGTATTTTTTTCTTTTTCTGTTTTTAATTGCAGTTTGCCACTGGAGCTGAACCCTTTCGCAGAGTGTCCTGCAACAAACGAATACTGCAGCTAATTGTGAGAGCAAAAACTGTGATAAACAAAGCGAGAGCAAGCTACACACACACACACACACACAAACAAATACATAGAAATAAAAGGAGGACTGGAGGTGGCAGCTGGAGAGGCAGCAGCCACGCCCTGGCAGCGGGCACAATTAAAAGCAGCGCAATAATATACAATTTTAATAAAACTAAAACCCGAAGCAAATTAAAAAGCGAGCGTCGCCAAATGCGACACTAAAAGTAATTAGCGACAGGCAGACAAGCACACAAATAGACAAGGACAGGGACTGGGACTGGGACAGGGACAAGCAGAGGGTCGAGTTGGTAATAAAAACAGAGCAAAACTGTTATAAATGATGTTGCAATCCTTGAATCTGCACGCGGATACACTGAGCGGCATTCCACCAGCAACAGTGGCAGCAACAACAGCAGCAGCAGCAGCAGAGGCAGTGGCAGTGTCCGTGGCAGCAACAGAACAAACTAACGAGGCAGCAGCAACAGCAGCGGCAGCAACAACAATGCTGACAACGGCACCTGTTGCACTTATTGCTAATGGCAACAACAACAACAGCAACAGCAACAGCAGCAGCCTTTATAACAATAACAATTTAAATAGCAATAACAATTGCAACGTACAGCAGCAGCAACAGCAGCAGCAGCAACAGTTGCAACTACAACAACAACAACTACAACAACAGCCAGTCAAGTATTTAGAGAATCTAACGAGCTCAGGAGGAGCAACTTCAGGTGCCATTGCAGCGACAACAACTTTTACAGGTGCTGCAAAAAGTTTCCATCCATATTTGCGGCCCAGTTGCAACACCAACAGCAACACAGCAGCTGCAGCAGCAGCAGCAGCAACAGCAAACCTCATCCCAGCAACAACAACAACAAATATGTCGACTGCATTGTTGGAAACACTTTTGCACAACCAAATAAATTCCAGCACAACAGCAGCGCTGACCGTTCCAGCAGCAGCAGCAGCAGCAGCAGCAGCAGTTCCTGCCACACCAACAGCTACACCAACAACAATACCAACAGCAGCAGCAGCAGCTGCAGCCGCAACAACCGCAACAACAGCAGCAGCGACTGCAGCGGCGGCAACGTCAACGCAGCTGAATTCCGGCATTAATTCCAGAACTTCATTAGTCGAGCAGAGCCAGGCCGGGGGCATCGGAAATGCTGCCGTTATAGTAGTCGCCGCCGCTGCCCCAGCCATTGTTGCCCCAAGCGTACAAAATCGGTGAGTGTTGCCACACACCCAAAGCTCAGTTGCTTTACTCCATTTTTGCAGCAGCAGCAGCTTCGCAGCTAATGTCTGCGGATTGCATTGAAATGATTTATTTTGGGCCGTGGGTTTCGGTAATTTCGGTTAGCGCTGAAAAGTATGCAATGGAAAATGAGTTGAGGAGGAGGAGGAGTTATCAGAGCTTAGCCCGCCCATCAATGAATGGATTTCCATGAGCATTAAATTCCATTTCAAACACACATCATTAAAGCCCAGCCAGCCTGCACTCCAGGTAGCTCCAGGGGTGGGAAATACCTGCCTGTCCATCATCGAAATCTCCCTCAAACTTTGTGCGCCCTGCCGTAACATTTACAAGCATTTCCGTCATTCAGCTTCAGTGCTTATCATTTTGCATATTACCTTTGCCGTTAAACGGGGAACATTTCAATTTCCTATAGCCGCCATCGTCAGTGCCAGTTCCCCCCCTCGCTTTCAGCTATCACATTTCAAATGGTTATTCCTCGGACGTGCGCCACATTTTCTATTTGTGAGCAGCTTCCTTTGCCCGGAAATTATAAAAAATTCGACTCGAAATCGACGCGGGCGAGCGACCCACAACGGCGACTGATTTAATTAAAATAAGTGACAATTGGGCAGGGCTGGGTGTGGGCGCGGGGCATGCGGAGAGTGAAGGGCATGCCAGCGAGTGACTAATGATAATTGGCATTGCATTAAGGTTATTAATTGGCAGAAGCCCAGCCAGGCGACAATTCTCACATAGCCAAAGTCATCAAAGATAATAGCGAATGATTATTGACAGGACAGTGTAATTATAATATTATAGCATCTTCGTAATGACAATAACTGATGTGATGCGATGCGATGCGATGGGCGGCGGGTTGGGCAGGGGTGCCCCGTGCTGTGGTCCTCTACAATTTCAGTGGATACAACCGCAGGCCCTTGAAAGCCCGCAGCCCAAAGGAGCTTGAAGCGAGTCTGGACTGTGGCCGAGAACTATCAGAGCTCCTGCTGCTCCTCCTGCCTCTCCTTCCCCTCCTGCTTGGCCATTAAATAATAAAACAAGAATTATTAAATTTACGTTGGGTCATTTTTATGCGCCTCTGGGTCCAGTCCTTCTTGTATATATTTCCTTTCTTTTTTTTTGCTGCCTCTACGCGTATCTTTGAGCTGTTTGCTTTTGTTGTGACAGCCGCGGCATAACAAACTGCCATCATAAATTAAGTGCCGCCACGTCATGACTGACTGTGTCGCCATTTTCACAGTGCTTCAAGGAATGTTGGACTATAAAAATTCAAGAGTTTGCTTTGTGTTTTTCTGTCATGGAGTAATCAAAAGTGCAGGCAGTCCCTGGCAGCAGTTCTGACATATATTTGAGCCTGTAGCTGTACATTTTTCAACAGACTTGGAGCCACTGTGCCGTGACAGCGTACTTTCCTCACTCAAGTTGTTGAATTCGCATTGAGCTGGCGATACCAACATAGTCATCGTCGTCATCATCGTCATCACCTGTGTGTGCCCTGGCCCTGTCCTGGCCCTGTCCTGCCCCCCACAAATCCCAACTGAGAGGGGAGGCAAGCTCTGCTGCCCCTCTGCCACTCTGGCACGCTTCAGCTGCCACCGCAGGCGATTTTCTCATTAAGCCTGGTCGCATTTAAATGAAACTGAATTATTAATGCCCAAGCGCAGCCCCGAGAGACACCCAAGGAGAGATGTTCTGAGGCCGGAGAGGCTGGAGAGGCTGGGGAGGCTGGGGAGGCTGGAGAGGCTGGGGAAAGGCCGGAGAGTCAGGAGAGGCTGCAGAGTCTGGATCCTGGCAACTAGTTGGCCTCCGTGCGCACTCGGGAAGCGTTCTTCGAGCTTGGCTCCCCGATGGATTGGCGCCAGCCCCAGCGTCAGAAATAATTGCCTTACAGACTCCAGGGGCAACACACCTGTCGCGCTCCCCTGCTACCACAGGGAGCTCCTCTGCTCCTCTGCTCCCCTGCTCCTCCTCTTCCCGTTTGTTTTTGGCTTTTGTTATTTTATTTTGTATTTATTTTTGCGTTGCTTCTTTTTGGGGCACACGCACCAAATGCGTAAATGTTTCCCGTTTCGAGATTTATGCTGCAGGCACAGAAGTCGCGATGGATTACCATGGAGGCAGATTCGCTGCCCCCTGCTCCTGCTCCTGCTCCACCCACTTTGCATATTCAGCTGGCGGCAGCGGCCAGGCCTGAATTTATCACCTTGACATAGACAATTTGGCGCCACGTCCTCGTTTCGGGCTCTAATAGATTAATTTCGTTTTGTCATTGGATGGCCCGCGGCTGCTCTTCGCTTTCACTGAGTGTCGCAGGGTTGTCAGCCCCGGCCTGACTGCCTTCCACGCTGCAGGGCTGGTACTCTGGCAGTTAATAACCAGGGGAGGGTAGGGCGAATGGGGCGTAGAAATTACTTACGCAGGAAATTGGAAAATGAAGAAATTTAAAAGTAAATTGCAAGTAATTTCCTAAATGGCATCATTTCAGATGACTCCCCCCGTCAGATAAAAGCTAATAATGAAACGCTCCAGCCTACCTCCCACCACCCACTGGGATATCAGAGCATATCAATTGAGGGCCAAAAAGTAGGCAATGGAAATGTTAATACGTGTGAATTTCCCAGCCAAACAATCCCCCACTTGGCATTCCATTATACCAGAGCCAATTAAGTGCTGAAATTTATTGGGCCAACTGCTTGACAACTTCAGCAGCAGCAGCAGCAGCAGCAGCAGAACGAACTCCCTTTGACCAGCAGTTTGTCGAGCAATTTGACAAGCAACCAAAAGTCAATTTGGTACACCATCAAGAACACCCAATAAACCCCCCAGCCAAACCCATTAGAAACAACAACGAGCACACTGGCCGGGTAAAGGGAAAACTTTTTCGGGGCAGTCAGTCCACAAAAACCAAACCGAAAGTGACCTCAAAGTAGAGCGTTCGATGCGCTGCCAGTCAGTCAAAGGACTCCCCGATCCTCAACTCCATTACCAGCACATTCCCAGCGGTTCTCCTCCTACCAGTTGCGGACTGGTCAACCACAAAACAAAAGTAAAAACGTTTACAACTTTTTAGATTAGATTAGTTTGCTAATAACAATTAGTATTTGTATTTTATGCTGTTAGCCAACTTTGCCCCAGAGCGAGAGAGCAAGAGAGCGACAGGGCAAGAGAGCAAGAGGACTCTTGTTGTTTGTCTCTAGCTCTCTCCTCTTTTTTATCGTAATTAGCAAATGAAGTTAGGAGCAGAGTTACAGCTGCAGATTAGAGAGCGAATTGTGGCAGTTCAATGCAAAAAGTTGCTGCTTGTATTTGAGATTTGTAATGAATTTATTTGGCTGCAAGAAGTTTATGGCAATAAATGGAAATATATAAATTAAATTATAAATGAATTCTGTATTTCTTTGCAGCATGTCGAGTCCCATGGAGGATGACTTAAAATCCGATCTGGATGCCATGGACACGAACAGCAGCGAAATGCTGAAGGATCAGCCCGATGCTGATAATATCAAAATGTTTGTGGGCCAAATACCCAAGACCTGGGACGAGCCACGGCTCCGTCAAATGTTCGAGCAGTTTGGGCCCGTGCACACGTTGAATGTGCTGCGGGACAAGGTCACATCGATAAGCAGAGGTGAGTCCGAGAGGCATACAAATGTGCGGATTATATTCCGGTATTCAATGAAATTTTACAATGTTCATCAATATTTTTGGGGGGGTACCCACCTGCCCGTGGGGCGGGGAATAAACATCAAGTAATATGATTATGCTGATGGCGAGCAGGCCCATCAACATTAAAACTTGGACCCAGGTATGCTGCTGGGTACTCCAGCAGTGTTTGCGGGCTGTTGGGCAAAGTTTCAGCCGTGGTAATTGGCCATAATTGTGCGTGTATAAGCAGGAAAATCTTGCACACACACACACAGGATGCAGGATATGAGCATACGAGTATGTGTGTCTGCTTTTGGGTGTGTGTTAATTTTTGGGGCTGTATTAGAATAATATGCGCATTTGCTTGCAAACTTTTCCGAGAGCAAAAAGGTAAATTCCATTATGCATATTTATGGCCTAGAAGGGGGGAGGGTACGGAGATGATCGGGGCATGTGTGTGTGTGTGCAGTATGGAAACTGTAAATGTTGTAAGGTGTTCGAGCAGCCACGAAGGACTGTTGTCCGAGGATTATAATTTAATCTAACTAATGGACAAGTAGATATTATATATGTAAATGAAGCCAGCAGATATGAAGCATGACCGAAAAGCATAGAAATTATAGCAGAGAAAGGCACGCAAAGCAACCAAGAAAATGTAGCAGTAGAAGGTGCAAACTATAGATTAAAGATAGCTTTTATATACGCAGATTAAAGATAAGATTAATCGAAGGTATTTGTGGCAATCGACGCGCTTATCAGCTCAGATCAAAGCTCAAATATTGAATAAATTTGTACAAATATTGACTCATAGCTGCAGAAGGTATCACTAAGAGTTCACACATAGATAGTAGATAGTAAGGCACATAGAAGAAGAAGTCGAAGTCATACATTTCGATAAGAAATCATAGACAGATGAGAGTTTCCATGGGTGGCAGGTGCTGCAATCAATGAAGTTTTTTTTTTATTTAACGATCTGTATTTGTAGGAGGTTGGATGGATGATCGGTTCGGCTTCGGTTCTTAATAAAGGGGTTTTGCTTCGATGTATATTGTTGATATATTTAGGGATATATATGTATATATATATATATTCGGAGCTTGGCACTTGGCACGCAGCTTGTATGCTTTGTCGTGGGTGGAAAAAGACTGCAATAGCACCGTACGGTGGGTAGAAGGACTAAAGACTAAAAACTATGCTAGCGCCAGTGCGGTAGAGTCGAGTGGATCGTGACTGAGCAGCGCGAGAGAGAGAGCGAGCTAACAGTCTGCTGTTAGCAACACCGTCAACCGACTGTTAACTAGGCGACGTTAACAGCGCTGCTGCCCTGAACAATGTTAAAGGGAAAGTGCAGTGAAGAAACAAGGCCATCCAGGGGGTAGTAGTGGTGGGTCACAGGGACACTTTGATAAGAAACTATAAGGTAGAAATCAGGCGTGCAAGCCGTGAAGGGCGGAGATATGCAGTATGCTCTGTAGAACTGTTCCTAATGATTAAATATACCGCTACATAAAGAAAATGCTTATGCTAAATGCTTAAGCTAAGCTCGTATCTACACCATATGATTTCTGTCCATTTCTCATTGCCCCTGTCCGCCCCGCCCCGCCTCGCATGGCTTGCACGAAGCGCTCGTCCCGTGACCGTCCAGTAAAATGCATGCCCTGTACCATATAATCTAATGCCCCTATATCTATATAAATATTTATACTATGTAGCTGAACAACTTAGCCAAGATGCATGATAAAACAGCTGCCAAATTAATTTTAGAAAATAAATTAAAATAATTTTTGTATTGTTTCCCAGTCAATAATATTTAATTATGCATATATACAAGTACATACAGTACATATATATATATACATGTATATATATTTACATGCTATATATAACGTTCGTTTTGTATCATACGTTCTTGTGTGTAATTGTCCATCGATCCGTTTGATTTGTATTCGATATGTATTCGATTGTTTCCATTTTCGTTTGCAGGGTGCTGTTTTGTCACCTACTATACCCGAAAGGCCGCCCTGCGCGCCCAGGATGCGTTGCACAACATCAAGACATTGGATGGGGTAAGTACATCCCCCCCCACCCCTCCAAACACTATCACCATCCACCCACAGCAACCCCACAAGCCCACAAGCCACCATTACCCCTCTCTCTCATCTATGTAGCTTTTGGCCGTAGTTTTGCCCGTTTTTTCCTGTTCTCTGTGAATGTGTATGTATGTATGTATGTATGTATGTATGTGTATGTGTGCTACGTTATTTTTCATATGTTTTCTCTATATGTGTATGTGTGCGTGCGTGTTTTCTTCATGTATGTATGTGTGTGCGAGTACCCCCCGTATATAGTATATAAAAAGTATATATTTACTGTGTTTACTGTGTGCGCCCCCTTTGAATAATACAGCTTGAGAAAGTCAACCGCTTGCGTCCCGATTCGATTCGATTCGATTCCATCGATCGATCGATGACATACTTTCCATGCATGGGGTTTTTGGTGGGTTGGTGGCAGCGAGTGGGAGGGGGGGGGCCTATTGGTATATGGCCAACACAAAATGTAATCATCAGTCAATTAGTGGATTCAATTATTGAGGACAATCTCCATTGTTAACGTATTAAATGAAGCGTTCCACGCACAAGCAAACACACACTAAGATGGCAGATGGCAGGGGGCAGGGGGCAACAGAGGGCAGGAGCGGGTACGGGTACGGGGTACAGGTACCCCCCCACAGAGCTCATGTTCCTGTGCACAGTGGTTCTAGCATGTCTAAGAATATGTAGCTGATATTTGGCTCTAGGGCAGAGGTTTTCATGGCTTGTACCTTAAATGGAATGCAAATTAAATGTAGGGAACTCTGCAGAAAATTCCAGAAAATTCCACAGTCTAAAAATCATTAGATTACTCATTAAAATGAGTGAATATTAACCCGTAAATAAATACAAAAATTACAACAGATACTCCGATTTAAAGTCACATTTTTCCAGAAGCCGATAAAGTAATTAAAATATACAAATATTTTTTTAAGATTTATAAATTCTGTGTGTTGCCGGAATCTATAAATATAAATAAATAAAGAATAATAATAAAAATAAATACTAAATAATAACAAATAAATACAAATAAATAATAAAATAAATAAATATAAATAAATAAAAATATACATATAAATATCAATAAAATATATCAAATTAAAGCAATATCTGCTTAAATTTATGTAAACAAAGCTTACAAAAAATATAAGAAGTACGAGTAAAACTCTTTACACGCATGGGAGCCCACCGTGCCCCACTGGGCCCCAGCATTTACATATTCAAATTGTTAATGGAAAATCCATATAGGAACGTTCGTCCGGCACAGCACTAAAACAAAGCCCCCCGAAATACACATGAAACTTAGCAGGTGGAGAGCGGGGCAGGAGGCGGGGCAGTAGCTATACGAGCGCCAAGCCAAGGCAGAAACAGGAGTCCTGGCCAAATGGCGCCACGTGTGTAATTGTCAAAATAATGACCACATGCTCCCAGCTCCCAGTTCCCTCCCAGCTACCAGCCCCAAAACCCACACACATGGGGATGGGTGTGTGTGTGTGGCTGTGTGTTTGTGTGTGTAAGGTGGATCTTTGTTTGTATAAGTAAGTGCCTGCCTGTCCAGCTATGCAGGATTTGTAGCTGGTGTGGGCAGGCGACGTACACGAGTGTTAGTGTGTGTGGGAGCATGTCTGATCCTTTAATGCATTTGGCAGGCAGCCCTCAACAGAAAGGACATCCATCGATGTCCTCGTCTGGCGAAGCTACTTAATTTACCTGAAATAATCGATAGGTAAACAGACGTTAAAATGTCGACATTTTCACACACAGAAAGAGAGTGAGTGAGCGAGAGAGTGGGGGAGAGAGTGTGAGAGGCAGTAGAGGCTCAGCTTGTCAACGGCTACAATAAATATTTTGTTTTGAACTGAACCAAACCAACCGCTCCATCGCACTCGCTCTCTACCTCTCTCTCTCTCTCTCTTTCTGCTAAGTGGCGCTGTTCTTTTTCTTCTTAGGCTTTTTTTTTTTGGCCACGTGTGAACAGGTACAGCTGCAGCAAGGGCCAGCAAGGGCCAGCAAGGGCCAGCAAAGAAAGCGACAGAGAGATAGAGACAGAGAGACAGAGAGAGATGGCAGTGAGAACATTTATATGGCGCGGCCTGAAAGTATGCACTGAAATATTGATGCCACAAATTAAGTCCAAGTGGCAGCGGAATTTTATATTTAATTCAATTTCCGAATTCAATTTGGAGTGTCGCCGTGTTAAGTCTGCTGCCAAAAAACTAACTCCAAATATTGTCACAGCTAATTGACAATCAGCAGGGAAAAAAGAACTGCCTGCAAATCGCATTATAGCTTCGACAGCATTCAATTGAAAAGGGTAACTTGGCCAGCATTTAACTACACACACACACACGCAGAGACACACACCAGCAGAGGCACACACACAGCTACACACAGTTAGAGGCACAACTCTCACAGACAGACAGTTAAATGAAAGGCCAGTAAAGAGCTGGGGGTAGAGCGGTCAGTGGGTGGGTGGCTCATTCAGCTGTCAATTTTGAATAATAGAGCAGCAAAATGGCGCAACAATGAGCACAGGCTAGAGGGGGGGTCGGGCGTCGGGGCAGGAACAAGCAGCAGGGGGCTGTGACATTTTCTCGTAATTTGTGCAGAAACCTTTTGACTTTCACAGTTCCATTCTGCTGGCTGCTGGCTGGTCCTGGTCCTAGTTCTGCTTCTGCTTCTGGTCTGCCAGAGACAGAGAGGCCTCAACCCGTAAGCATTTCATTTCAATTTGCTGAACATCATTCAGTCATTCAGTCACTTCGTGTCCGTGTCCGTGTCCGGCTACGCCTCCTCCTCTCGCCTATCTCCTCTGACTCTCTTTGCCTGTGGGGGAAAACTCTTTGCACTCTTTCCAATTGAAGTTCCATTTTCTAATATCGTTGTAAGTATTATTATTATCATTTCCGCTGCTCGAACCGTTTCAATGAAAAGTTAATTGAAATCAAAGTAATGGCCAGTGCCCGTGCCAGTGCCTGACAGGCAGCAAGGACCCAGCAGGACGAGCAGCCAGCAGGACGAGTCCAGTCCCGAGTGGAGATGCCATCGAACCTTATCATCAGTTGGCTCAATGAATGTAAAATAAATGAAAATTTGTTAAAAGCATTCGCATTCGCATTCAATTGCATTTTTCAAGTGCTAATGGCCACGTTAATGAAATGGGTTCCCATTTCCCATTTGGCCTCTGGCACACCCCACCCCCACACCACACCACCCCTCCCCCTCTACACTCTCTCTATCTCTACTCCTCCTTCTCTGTGTTTGATGCCATTAGCTGTTCATCGCTCGCTGCATTCCTTCGCACTTGTTGCACTTGTGCCGAGTCGAACGTAATGAAATCTAAAAGAAATACTTAAACTCATGTACTTTGTACATGAAAAACTAATGAAAGACAAAGCTTTGTTCTAGCCTTTGGTTGAGTGGGGCTAGAGAAGCAAACGAGGGGAAAATAAATGCAGAGCAGATGGCACAGGGACAGGACCAGGGAAAAGGAAACGAAAGAATTTAAATGGAAATATTTAATTTTGTTATTCGTATTACTTCTGTTCTAATTTTAAAAATTGCATTTATAAACTTTATTTATTGTCTCTATTGTGTAGCCTTTTTATTTGTTTATATTGGTAGCAGAAGAAACCAATGGAAATCTACTGAAGTGGCGGCAACTTGAAGCTGAAATCCTGCTCCAAAGTCACTCGCCACTTCATCTGTTGGGTTTATCCTTTGATACTCCTGTGACTAATGAATCTCTTTGCCATATTTCTGGCTTTTTTCTACTGAATATTCAAAGGGGAAAAGGGAAACCCTGCCCAAACACTATCCCCTCCCCCCCTTTACAACGACTTTTAAAATGGAAAAACCATTCATACTTTTCTAACTTATTATGATTGAATATTTGTCTCTGTTCGACTTCCCTTACTTATTGCCTCTCTCTCACTCTCTGCTCTCTCTCTCTCTCTCTCTTTTTCTCTTTGACAGATGCATCATCCCATACAGATGAAGCCGGCGGACAGTGAGAACAGAAATGGTAAGTTCCTCTTTAGACATCGTTTCGGGGCATATTTGCTATGTGTCTGCTGTCTGTCTGTCTGTCAGTCAGTCCCTGCATATGTCTGGCTGATTGCTGCTGGAGAGACCATTCGGTCGGTCTCTCCTCTCTTCAATATATCTGTCTGAGTGAGCCTTTTGGGCTTAATCACAAACTTGCATGCGGGGGGGGGAGAGAGGAGTGCTGCAAGGGAGCAGCAGTTGGTGTCTGTATTTGATTACACAAAACAGAAACACACAGAAAAAGAATTGGCCCTGGGAATGCGGCAATGAAAATGAATAATGCTCAAACTGACAGGAAAAGTGGTGGGGATGGAGGGTGGGTGGGGTGGGGAGGGGAGGGACACTGGAGGCAGCACAGACTGAGACAGAGAGATACTGGCAACAGTCCCGCATTAGTTGGATTGTGTGGAGCCAATAAATCGATTAGGATATGTGCTGAAAAGAAAAGCGGAAAACCCATTCAAGACGTATGGCAAATAATTCAGCACACAAAAAAATTATTCCCAAAGCGGGAAAAGGAACTAAAGGGACTAGGGATTTACCAGGGACTCGGGATTTACCAGGGACTAGAGATTGACTGCTATTCAAGCTGTTTAGTATTAAATCAAACGGCTGTGCCCCCGTTTTCAGTTTTAGTTTTCGCTAAAATAAATTAAAATTAATAAAAATATCTAAAGCAAAGCGCCCCAAGTCCATGGCTAACTTGAGGCTCTTTCCTTTATGCCTATGCTCTGCCCTCTGCCCAGTGGGACACTTTTCTTGTGCCCCTCCAAAGAGAAACTTCACAGCACAAACGATTCGATCTGCCATTCCAGACAGGGCAGTCGAGGCATTTCCCCTTTTAGCGCACATTTTCCACATGGAATTCAAATCGGAAAATCGTTATAGTGCCACAGACGATGTCCAAGGGCTAGCCTCTACGCCTGGGCAGCACTTATGCGCTGCGTTTCCGTTTCCGCTTTGCCATGTGCATGCGTGTGCCTGCGTGTGCCTGTGTGCGTGAGTGCTTTGGCATTTTCTTGTTGTTCCTTAGCATTGCTTGAATGCAGCGGAAATGTTTAGGGCATCGCTCGCATTCCCCTCGTTGGACGACAGTCTGCCTTGTCCATCGATTGTCCATTCTACTGCGCCCCTTTATGTCTCCACTGATTCCTTTGCTGTTTCTTTTACTGCGTACCTAATTGCTTGCCTGCTGTTTCCATTGTCTACAGGCACAGAATACTTGCCGCATATCTCAGACTGATTCGAAAACCATTCGAAATTTTGCTGTGTGTTTGTTGTTTTTGTTGCCGTGTTGCCGTGTGTGGCTCGTGTGTTTTCGATTGCGTCAAGTGTTGTGTTGTGGTACGCATGACGAAAATAAATCACAAAATTAAAAATACGTAACACAGAAATTTTATGGTAAATTAACTTAAAATTGGCACTCACTCGTGCATTCGGCCCATTCGACCGAGAATCTACACCGCTCTGCCTCTCTGGCTCTCTGCTCTCCCCGCTGATCGGTTCTGCCCCCTTTGCCACACGCTGCTCGTTTTTCGGCTCAGAATATTAACAAATAACGTGGCATAAATTGAGATGAATCAAGTCAAGTGTGCCGAAAGTCGGCAGCAAAGTGTTCAACATTGGATCCAACAACGGGGGCGCACAGGGTTCAGTGTTTCGTTTCGTTTCGTCAGAGCATTGTCACAATTCACTTTGTAAGTTTGTTGATTGCCAACAAAATTAATTGCAGCATGCAGCCAAAGTGCAGGAACAAACCGATCAAAAAGGCTAAACAAGATGTGACGCGTTGGCTTTGCAAATAACGAAGATTGTATGCTCTTTTTGGCTACTACAAGTGCCGGAATAGATCCCATGATTCCTCTGCTGTTTGGCTATTTTTGGTGCTTAAATTGCATAAATTTATCGGCCTGCTTCCATGTTAATTGTCCTGCATAACAAAGTTGATTTAGCCGTACCCTTGTGGCTGCTCTTATGGTAGCATCATCGCCGAAAACAAATGCCATGCCAAACATATTCAAATGCCACACAAATTTCTCAAAATGCAACAAGTGCAACCAGACTCTTGCCACAGCCTCTCCCTCTTTCTGGTTAACTCTCTCCCTCTCTCTATATCTCTCTCTCTCTCTTGTGCTCTGGGTGCCATTGCGTGTTGTGCGAAATGTTTTGGCGACACTTGACAAAATGCCAGAAATTCTAAATACTTTTAGCTGCCGTTCGTTTGTCGGCGTTGTTGCTGTCCGCCTTTTTAGCATGCCCTTTTGGCTGCTTGGCTCGCATTCGAGTCGATCGAGGGAAAATCTTGCTGTTTCGTCAGGCATCTAGGCATCTCTCTCTCACTCACTCTCTCTCTCTCTGTATCTCTCTCTCTCTCTCATTACCCATGCACAATCAACTCAAATTAATGAGATGCGTGCAAATGCAAGTAGATATATTTAGTATATTTAGTATATATGGCCACAATTTTATTCCGTATGCCTGTTGGCTTTCAAATTAATGGGTTTATTAATTTGCAAATTGTCAGGCGCTGACAGCGTCGAATCAATTTTAATACCAACAAAACTATGCAAAAGTATGCAACCCCCCAAGGAATGCCATTCATGCCGCTGCCTGTATCGGCGGTATCTTTAGATCGGAAAATGCATTTTCATGTTTGCAATTTAAGTTACTTTGCTGCTGCTGCTGGTCACATTAGCACACTTTTCGATTCAATTATGAAACGTTCTGCGGGCAAACAAAGCGCTTTTCTATGTTTCTCGCACCGAGGCTGAGGCTGAGGCTGAGTCTTGCCTGCCCCCATCCCAATTGATTTTCGCGCTGACTGCCTGCCTGCCTGCCTGCCTGTCCGACGTGATCGCTCGTTTAGCTAGAAGATACACAGCTCCAAGATACACTCTGAAAGATACACATATCCACAGCCACAGCTACAGATGCTCATTTTTTCTAGCTTTGATGTTAATTGCTCGCGTCTCGAAACCTTTTAGGTCGTGGCGATCTTGTCAAGTGAGTACACAACACAACACAACTTTGACTTGCTGCTGGCATTAAATGTGTTAGGAAAAAGAAAAAGAGAGCGAGCTGCTAAAACTCGAGCTTGGGCTGTAGGTGGCGGAGAGGGGTGAGGTGACAGCAGGCGCAAAGACTCTGGAGCAAAAATGAGCATTGATTTATGTAATGTGATTATACAAGAAAAAGTACTATTAAATGTCTGGGGAATGCTATTATATATTTACAGAGAATATATACAAAATTTATTCAAAAATAAAACAAAATTTAAAATCGAGTTTTCAAGAGAATTTTAATGAGGTAAATTCAAATGACACATATAATATATAATTAACACAGAAAAGGGTAATTTATAAAAAAAACAAGAAGCAAGCCGATTTAAGTGCATTTTATATTCTGTATAAATGAGTAATATTAAATATAATATTAATATTATATATAATATAAATAATATAATAATAATATTAAAATGAAGCTTACATAAATGTGAATAACAATTGATAATGAAGAAAAATATTGCTCTTCATGAGATGAGTTTCCAAGCTGGAAATAATTATTTAATTAGAACTTATCCATGGAGTATTGCAAATTCAATAAAATTCATGTTAAAAATTTAATTTACTAACAAAATTAAAACTGAAATATACAACTGAAATATCCAGCAGATATCGGAGGAATCTCAGAGTAGACTCTAAATAAAAAGAACTACTTGTAATACGGGAATATTTAATTATATTTAATTAATTAATTATATTATACATTATATTATTATATTTAATTATATTACACGGAGAAGAGTCCCACAGTTCGGCGCATCCTCAGCATGTAGAACAAAAATTCATCAGCTCGCGTTTTGTTTATAAGCCAAGCCCAGACAGATCAAAATTCAATCAGCAACCAATCCACATAGCAACCTAGGGGGAAACTCTATTCCAATCATATTCCGTATCCGCTCCGATAACACGCAAAAAGCGCTGAGTCAAACCCGGCACTAATGCGGCAAAGAGACAGCGAGAGAGAGAGACGCTGAGAGAGCGCAACGTAGAGTGTGAGCAACGCAGAGTGAGAGAGAGAGAGAGCGAGCGAAAGCATATTCTGTCATCTGACGATGATGAACAAACAAAAGTAAACAAACGTCAAGAGGCAGGCCACGGGCCACGGGCAACGGGCAACGGGCAACGAGCGTGGCTAATTGTCTTTCGTGCACACAGCCAGGCCAGAGCCGCGAGCCACAAGTGTCTAGAACAGCTGTTTGCCCAGAGAGAGAGCGCGCGCGAGCAGAGGGAGAGCGCAGCTGAAAGAGAGCGAGCCGGTAAACGCTGCAGCATTGCCAGCAGCAAACGAAACTCAAAGTGCAGCGCAATTGATCGCAGGGAGTGGGAGGGGAAGATCTAAGCAGCGGCGGGGCTTTTCGGTCTCCACTCAGTCAGCCGGTTGATCGTCGATCGGTGGTGGTGCCGCCTCTCGTTCCGTCTGCTAGTCGTCCGCACCGTTCGCCCGGCAATAGTCAGCATAGTCGAGCACAAGTATCCAATAGATACAGATACGTACGTACTGTAGTTGTCGCCAGTTGTCGTCTCGCCTGCTCGTCATTCGCGGCACGATCGAAGTGTATCTGAGTATCTCTACGCTACCCTCGTATTCGTATTCGTATTCGTATCTTCCGCGCACGTTGTGGTTGGTCAACTTCGATAAATGAAATTCTTTAAATTAAATCTACGCGAGTTGGCGCTGCCTTTAATTGAAAACCGTTTGCCCAGTGCCCACAGATAGAATATATATATATATATATTGATAAACTATTGCAAAAGCCAATTGATTGCCCCTCTTCGAGTAAATAAAACTCAACACTTGATAGATGATATTGTTTATATAAACTTGCCTGTGGATTGTACTTAATCATCGTTGATTTTGTAATTGAGTGAATTGGCTGCAAATGGCCAACTCAAATGTCCGCTGTGTGTGGTAACAGTTTAAAAGACTTTTCAATTGCATTTTGTGTGTGTTTTGTTTTGGTAGCAAATTATAACAGGCGTAGATAAAGCGCTTAAAAAGTATCAGAATTTCGAGTGTTACATATTTTGCTTGGTTTTTTTTCCAGCTGCTAAAATTGTCTAAAATCGAATGAAGAATTTGAAAAAATTTGCACATTAATTTTCTTTTATTGGCAAATTCTTCAGCAAATTAACTTAATTTTTTAGTATTTAAAAAAGATTTCCCCCCCAAAACATGCGAGTTAATGGCTTTGGTAAATCTACCGCAAAAGATACACCAAAATATCTGGCCTGCATGGCTCACACACATAAATATATAAACCGATTTCGATGAGGCCCAAAAATAAATGCCATAAAACATTAATTTGCTATGCCAAAGCAGAGGCAGCGGCAGCGGCAGCGGCACCAACCAACCAACCAACAACAACTCATTCGATTGGGTGTTTTGTCGTTCGGTTTGTCATTCGATTTGGCAATTGCCAGAAAAGTAAACACAGCACTGCAAAACGTATAGCGAACATCCGAAAACAATATGCAAAACAAAACACTTCCCAATAAATAAATTGCCAAAGGAACAAAAACAAAACAAAAGCCAGCCAGCAAAAAAAACAAAACAACAACAAAAAAAAGTCAATTAAAATCTCAGAACTGCAGTTGAGTCACTCTCTGGGCCGGCATCTCGGGGTAAATCTCTCTCTCCCCCTTTCTCAGTTTCTCGATTTCTGAGCTACTCAGAGATATCGTGCCGTGCATCGCTCCGTTGGCGGCCTTAACCAGTTTTCAGTTTCAGTTTCAGTTCAATTTCCATTATAATTATTACCTTTTTTTGCACTCCACACACACACACACACACACACAAATATTAATTTAATTTCTGTTTATATAATGCTTGGAGTCAGCTGTTTAGTGTTTTTGTTTGCATTTTGTTTTGGTTTTGGCAATCTCGATTCAGCATCTCTCTTCGAGTTTCGATTCTAGCGATTCTAGCGGGTAGATTGCGTGCCACTTGCCACTTGCCGATCGAGTGCGAGTGCCAGTCCGAGAGTATGCGAAGAATGCCATCGACTGAAATTGGAGAAATTCGCGGTTGCGTGTTGAAAGTGCGTTGCATTCTGTGTTGCAATCATCCGGCATGGTCTGTGGCCTGATGTTGCACCGGCAGTTTGCAGTTGCAGCTGCGGTTTGTCATGTGTGGCACCCCGCCACCACCACCACACATTTCTTACGCTTGACGAACGGTAATTGAAATATGTGAAATAATTGCTAGATTTGTGAGCCAAAATGGCAAAATGGCATGAAGAAAGACACACATCGAAAAGGAAAAGTTTCCAATGGAATGAAATTATTAATCTGCTCCGGGGAAATCTCTCCACCAACTCAAAATCTTGTTAGATTTTGGAGACACTTCTTGCAGTTTGATTGATTGATCTCATCAGTTAGATACTTAGATACTTCTTAGTACACTTAATTTTGTAGCTACTTACGCTCCAAGCAAAAACCTGTTAATGGTTTTATGGCTTGCGCCTTGAACTATTTATAGAAATTTTATTAGCTATTTCAACTCTCTGGCAAAGTGCTGGCCGAAGATGCTTTTAGCTGTAGCTTAAGCTGCGTTCATAAATGTTAAAGATACATTTTATGTGCAGCCTTTGGACTGTTTTAATTATTACCAAAGTCAGAGCTCAATTTATGAATTAAACTTTTAATTTAAAGATATTTTTTGTTGTATTTAAAAGATTTTTAAAAGTTTTGTTGAGGCTTTGGACTGCACTTAAAACAATTTCGCCTGCCTTAAAGATAGTCTTCTATTTAATTAATTAAAGTTAATAAATTTATTAAGGAAAAGTTCGCATTGAGGCTTCGATTTTATATTCCCTTTTTTTTTTTTTTTTTGCTGGGTCTTCAGCCTCGAAACTCTTTTGTGCAATTCACAATCAATTCAGCCATTAAGTAAATTTACAAATTCTTTGTTCTCTCTCTCTCTCACATTGTCTGTCTCTCGTATTTGAAGAACTCTCCACTGTCAACAATTTTCCATATTTCTTGGGCAATCCAAGTTACTCAACCACTCCATGCAGCTGCTTGTGGCACAGTGCCTAGACAATTGTCATTGTTTCAGCTGGAATTATGCACAACATTTCCTTGACTTTGTTGCTGCACAATAGGCAGAACGGACGGATAGACCAACAGGTTCTTCATGGGTCCTCCAATTAGGGGTATGGCGTACAATGATGGGAAAACTGCTGCTGGCTGCTGGCTGCTGGCTGGCCCGCTCGAGAACATTGTGCAACATTGCCTCAAAGTTCTCTGCAGCAGTTCCAGAGTCGGAGACAACAATTAATTGAAGAAATCACGCACGAGGGGCCGAGGCAGGGGGCTTGAAAATTCTATGGAAAGGCGCAAAGTGAATGACAACCGATTCCATGATGACTTCTGATGGACAAATACGGCTAACGGGCTCTATGACCCAAAAGAAAAATGGAGAAGGAATGAAGCAAAGCAAAGCAGAGAGCGAATAGCGCAGGAAGGGAGCAGAGAGTGCAGAGAGCAGACCGAGCAGTCCGAGCAGAGCTGGCGACAAGTTTTGCATACTAAAAGATACAAAATTGTATTATGTATGCCCTGCCCCTGCCCCTGCCCACCCCTCCAGCTGCTGCTGCTGCTGCTGCTTTTTATGGCCTTCTTTCACTCCAATTGTGGACGTCAGTCGAGAGGACTGAGGACTGAGTACCGAGCCCCAATGCCCATTCCCCAAGTGCGATTCAATCAGAGAATTTTAATTATTATTTTCAATTATCGAAAATGGCCTGTGCGTCTGCGTCTGCGTCTGCGTCTGTTCTTTTCAAGTGTTTTTTTTTCTCCCTCATTGTGTTGTTGTAGCCGCATCTGTATCTGTGTCGGATGCCTCTGTAATTAGGGGGCGTATTGTTTCATTATTATGCATGGCTCCCTACATACCCAGCCCCCTGCCGCCCCACCCTCTCCTAGCACTTGTTGCGGCATATGGTCTGGTTCGATTTTGTGTGTGTGTTTTAATTTTAATTAAATTTTTTCCCGATACAACTGGGAATACATTTTCACAGTACTTGCGCCGGGATGCATGTGCTCTTCTAGTGCTGAAGATACTCCCCCCACCCCCAGGGGATCAGCTGACAATTTTGTTGCTTGTAATTTATAATTTCTGTAGAATTTTCTGCTGAATTATGAATCAGCTGAACCAGCTGAAGCAGCTGAACAGCTGAAGCTTTTAGCTCAATGCTGTTAACTGATAAATTAAACAACTGTCGTCGTCGCGACAGTCGCCGCTTCCGACTGCTGAAATTCGAAACTAAAATAAACATAAGCCCCAAAGCCACAAAGCCCAAAAGCCAAAAGCCGAGCACAGATCCCAAAGTGAAGGCCCCCATTGTCAGGTAGAGAGTTCTGAGTTGGTACTGGGCCCGGGCATATTCGAAACAAATATGACAGCTAAGAGAAATAAGAGGCAACACCAGAGGGAGATTTCTGTAGCGGTCTGAGAGCTGCATTTCAGCTCAGGAATGTGTGATGTGCCTTTAAGCTAAAAGGTTTCCAATTGTCTCAGCAGATAAAGGCATCAAATGAGCAAGATATAGAGCAGATATGGAGTCCTTATAGCAGCCATAGGGATATATATTTTACTCTGCTTACGATCTGTTGTATCAGCACTCATTGCACACCCATCTGCAGCCCCCAAACGGACAATATTTTGTGCTCCATCGCAGTGCAATTTAACAATCATTCAATCTTCATCATTTAACCATTTTTGCCAGCACTTTTGCCCCTTTGGTTGTTGCCAGTTTGGACGCAGCGCAGCAATAATAATGATAATTTTGTTAATAGTATTCGAACTGTGTTCTGTGCTGCCGTTGACGTCGCCAGGCGGCCAGGCGGCCAGGCGGCTCATCGTGAACTGAGTACACAATGGCTAAAGTACATACCAGATACAGATACAACAACTACAGCTCATGCGGCAGAACAAACCCAAACAGAGAAGGAAGCAATAGCGACAAAAAAAAAAAACAAATATACAAAATACGAAAAAAAAAAAAATAACGTAAAGTAAAATAAACCGCAGAGCGAAGCGCGAAACGGCAGCGAAAAATAAGCGACGCCAGCAGTTTGTCACTCAATCGCCCAGACATCAGTCGCGTTTTCGGATCGACAGAACGAAAAACGAAAAAACGGAAAAACTACCAAAAAGTCTCGACGAGTATCTAACAGATACTCGCAAATCGGAGACGTGCTCGCCGATCGCCGAACGCCGCTGTAATCTGAGTACAAAAACCGATTTGTGAGAGACATTTTATTGGGCAGCGGGGCAGCTTTACATTTGCCGCGCACGCGTGTTCCACAGCCAAAGTTAAAGTTCAAGACGTGCGCCGATCCGATCCGATCCGTTGCAGGTATCTGTCAGATACACCCCGATACTCGCACCAAGTGCGATTCGGAAAATACGAATACGTGTGCTGGCAAATACTTGAGTCGCCTTTGTGGAGTGTGTAAATCAGAATTTGAAATGCACATAGCATTTGCATACTTAGCGGGCCGATAAGAACTTTGGTGGGTCCAACAGAAAGTACAGTGGTCACTGGATAAAGGAAAATCATACAAGCAGGAGGCAGCACATCATCATAAATATGCTAAGAATGAGCCGATGTTGCAGTGTGCACTGAATAATTATGATACCATAAATGAGGAATAATAAAATAACAAAAATAATAATGGAAACTTTTAGAGAGCGCGCAGCAGCAGAGAATAAATGCTGAGAGTAAACTGATTCTGAAGGTGTTGGGTAGGACTTATCCAACAACCAGTTAAAGGAAAGAGGGAGACAAATTCCATTGCACTTCAGCGGAATTTAAAGTATATTTTAATATATATATTTAATATTTATATTTAATATATATATTTAATATATATATTTAATATAGATTTTAAATATATCTTGGCCAATCCAGTGTCCACTGTGTTGACAAATCGTGTGCTTTTGAGCAGCTCTATTTACCTGTGAAAACAATGAACCCGCCGAACCCCCCGAAACACAATCGTGTCGAGTGCAATTTAACCTGAAATAGCTCGAAAGCAGCTGATTAGCTTTGCTCACAGTGCAGAGTTGTAGGCAGGGGCATGGCATACAAAATAATACAAAAAATACAGCAAATACTCGTGTAACCTAACAGACAAAAAGCCGATTTCCGATCCAATTCGCGTTACGTTACGGATGAGTGACTCGTTACTGTGTGTGTTGGACTGGGAGCTGGGAGCTGGGTGTGTCAGTCCATAAATAGCCGCAAATGAAGGTTACAGATGAGCACTCGCCACTCGCGACACTCTCCCTCACCTTCAAGGTCAACTTTGAGATATCCGACTGCGCCCTTAAGTCAATAATCTAAATGCCCCCAAACAAAAAATATATCTCTCTAGGTGTATACACATATATATTGTAAAACATTTGCGCAAATATCAACAAATGAAAATCCCCATTTAAGCGAGAAATGAGAAGCGAGAAACAAGTGTTATTTGAATGCAAATAGAGGCACAGAGGACCGGGCACAGGCCATAGAAAATATTTTCCATTCACGTAATGGCTTTCAAAACGAAAATGAATCACTTTGAGGGAGGGAAAATTCTACCCAAAAAAAAAAAAAAAGAAACGAAATATTCACTCAAAGACCGAAGTCAACACACGGAATTTGTCACATGTCAAATTTTGTACTTTCGGCTCTTTTTTTTTTGGTTTGGTTTTTATGGTGTGTATTTTTGAGGAGGTAAAACTCTGAGTGCAGGCCCGTATTAAATACAATATGTCAACAGCTCGTCAAAACCGCTAAAACATTAAACAAAACAAAAAAAAGAAAAACTTCGGGGAAAGCTAAAAATATGATGAGCTGTAAAGTAGAACCAATGATCATTGGCCTGTCACATATTTCGTTTGTTGAGTAATTTATTGGAAAATGTGTGTAATAGAACTGCCAGTTCTGAAGAACTGCGACAGCTCTGCCACAATTTCCTGCTACCAACACACTTTCGATATTCTTCTACGAACAGAATAGAAACCTCCTCCGCCACTTTAGATACATTTATCATGCTTCGAATGGCCCGCTTATAATGCAAAAGCGTAACTTTACGCTCTGAATAATTTCATTTAAAAAGGCAATTGCAAACCCAAGCAACAACTAAATATAAAATAAAACACCACCACAGCACCAGAGGAGCTGAGGCAAAGTTCAGAGTGTAAAAGTGTAAAAGTGTGAAATTGAAGTTGATGAGATAATTGTGCTGGAGTTTCTGCCCCAATCGCACGACGTACCCAGATAATGTACGAAAACGCCACGAAAAGTCGGCTTAAAAATGTGTTAAAATTTTGGGAAAATTCAAAACTTCAGAGCCGTTGCCTAAAAAGCATTTAAAACAACAACAACAACAGAAAAAGTGTAACACACATTTTGAATTCGTCTGGAGCGCAGCGAAGCGTTACCAAAATGATTACGAGAAATGTCACAAGCACTGCCAGCAGTCACAACACAACAAAAAGTTGATATACATATGCTCAAAGTTATAGATATGTATTCTAGGCACTAGGGGGGGGCAGGGGCAACGAATCAATTTGTTTTGCATGTCGCAACACACAGAAAACTGTTCCACTTTTGGCCCACCTGCACCTGCACATTGGGAAACCTCTTGTCAATATTTGCACTTTCTTTCTGAGTTTCTGAGTTACATTCCAAGAGAGATCTGCCTATAGACAGAGCTAGAGCTAGAGCCGATATATAGAGGCAGTGGAGAGACGGGAGAAACTTTGTCTATTTACGCATATTTATGTCTATATGTTGGCCATGTACAAACAAGAAACCATCAGCTCCGACATCAGCATCATCGGCAACCTCATCATCGTCTTCAGCTTCATCTTTAGGCAGTCTGTCAATGGATAGCGTCAATTTTAGTTGGGTCAAAAGAAATTGAAAATAGACAGCACAGCGCAGCCCTGGCAGGTGGATTTTGGGGGGTTGGGAAGAGGGAAAAGTAAAGAGACATAGAAAATAGAAAATACCAACAGAAAATATTCGAATTTCAAAGACTGCGTAAGAACTAGCACCGACCACAATATCAATTGTAGCCAAGTGGGAATTGGTTTCTGAGCAGATTGCGAAGATGCATGAAATATGCTATGAGTTTTGAGAGATTTTCAGTTGTCTCAGGCACCTAAACATAGTGAATTTTGTGAGCTATTAAAAGAAGGCATCAAATCAACGTTCAATCCAAGATGTGAATACCTTTTACTTCCCCCTTCAGCTGGAAGAATTTCACATGGAAATAAACCGAACTTCATAGTCAGAGCAGACCTTTGTTTTGCTGTGGCAAAATCCACAATTGTGGATGGTATTGTGTCGTATACCACTCGTATATTTAGGTGTCGAACAGTTGCTGGATTGTTAAGTTTTCCCAGTCGAATTCCCCACACGCGTCTCGGGTTACTATTTACACAATTTTGTATATTTTTTTTTGACTTGTGTGTAAATACAGACATTCGTTGCTTGAAAGCATTTTTCAAGCTGATTAGAGAACTTCATGCAGGTGTTATATATAGGGGGGGGAAAGAGAGAAACATATGGGCGTGGCTCAGAGAATTTCTCTCTCCATGCAGGCCCAGCTTAAAGTTCTCTTTTTTGGTGCAACAATCACTTGAATATCTATATATGAATGCACATAAAAATTGTTTAAGCGAAAGCTTGTTGGATTTTAAAATGATTGTTTATTTCCCCCATTATTTATTTTTTTTTTTTGTATCATTTGTGAGCTCCTTAACGGACATTAAATTGAAAATCAAATAACTGCGCTATGTGATCGCCATAATAATAATCGTAATAGTAAAAACAAATATCGTATAGCTGTACGTCCGAGCGGTACAAACGGGTCATGTCTGGCCCATTAGCTGGGGATGGATGTGCCACAAATTGAAAGTAAATAAAACCGAAAGAAGACAACAGCAAAAACAACAAAAACAAACATCATCAAAATGATAATAATCATAAAAATATATATATGTATGTATGTATATATATTTCGTTATTATCGAATGGCAAACTGCATTCACCTCAACCGGGACAATATGGCAAATTAATTAGTTATACAAAAATGGCAGACCATAAAAAGTTGTGCAAATCGCTTTAGAGAGCCAAAAAAACAAAAAAAAAGGGAAGAGAAAAATATCAAATGGCTTTTGTGTGTCTTTTGTGTGTGTGTGTGTGTGTGTGTGTTGCAAATAAAATTCAAATTATCCACAAGTGAATAATTGCGGCATTTTAATGGCAGGCCCACCCCCAAACACACTAAATAAACGAAATAAAATATTGGTTTTTCAGTTTTTAATATAGCCCAGGAGGCCCATAAAACTACAACAACAACAACAACAAACAACAAAACAAGCAAGCAAAAAAAAAAACGTGTTTTTGGCCCTTTTGAATTTTGTTTTTTTGTTCGCGTGCTCCGTGTCGTGGCGCCATCTAGCGGCCAATAAATAAATAACATGAAAAATCCAAATATCATGGAATGCAGCAATTCCTTAAACAACAACAACAACAACAATAATCCTAATACCGCCAATAACAACAACAACAACGGCAGCAGCATCAGCAGCAGCAGCAGCATCATCGCAACGAACAATATCAACGGAAACGGAAATGGAAATGGAAATGTTAGCGAACAGCAGCAGCCGCAGCAGCAGCAGCAGCGCACTCTATCGGGCAAAGCAAATCCAGCAGCATCGCCATCGCCACCCAGTAACTCCAGCAACAACATCATCATCGGCTACAACAAACTGAGCTCCTCCACGGGCTCCACGGGCACATCGCCGCAGCATCATACACAGCACTCGCCCTCGCCACCGCATCAGCATCAGCAGCATCAGCATCACCATCAGCATCAGCACCATCCCTATGGCCATGCCCATCAGCAGCACCCAAACCAACAGCAGCACCCAAACCCAAACCAGCCAGCGATGTCCACAAACATGACCACAAATGGCCATCAGTTGTATCCGGCGATAACGGCAACGTATTGGCTGCCGCCACCAAATCCGGCGCCATATTTAGTTCCAGGTAATTAGTGTTACTTGCGTGGGCAACCGTTGATTCAAAAAACCCACCCAGTCGAGTACAGCCCCTGCCCAGTACAGTGAATGTCCACAGAGTGCACTTGCGACTTGCAACTGGCATCGAAAGTTAACTAACTTTAGAGTGGGGGAAAACAAAACAGATTTTGTGGGTTTTCGAAAGGTGTTAATGGAACTTTCTAAGCGCTGCATTAAAATGCTTTTAGTACTCGTAAATTTGGACTGATTAATCACCGATTAAATGCACTATTTAATTATCAAAATGAATCAAAAAATCCCATACAAAATAGTTCATAGATATAGATCTTTCACTCACTCGAAGCGTTCGTTATGCATTCCGTTTCAGCGACTGATTAATTTATCACTTGCACTACAATTTTGTGCACCTGCTGCTGCCAACTGTTTCGCCTTAGCCACAGCTCACTGTGCCGCTTCCATTGTCTAAAACTCATTGCAACTTTTCTCTTTGGCAGCGGAAGCGCGTCGCCTGCAAAAACGTTGCAAATTATATTTTCGTGTTTATTGTGAAGCTCGCGAGGATTACAAAGCAAAGCGGGTTCTGGCCGCTAGAGGGCGCACAGAGCACAGAGAGCAATGCAATTTGTTTGGGTGAGGGTGATGGGTGGGCTGGGAGTACCGGAAAGGGGGCGCATCAAGGGGGTCGAGCGTGTTTCATGTTTCGATGCAAGTTCCGTGCTTTTTCTGCTCTTTTGTTTTGTTTTGTTTTTCTGTTGGATTGTCGTGTATTTTATTTCCTTTTTGCGCCAAGTGGCTAAATGTTAAACCATTGTGGGGGGGTTGGTGGGGCGGTCTGTAAAGGGTTGAGTGTGGCATGCATATTTCTCTTTATTTGTGTGTGTGTGTGTAATTTCATTTACAGTCGCCACTTGCTGGGCAGCTAATTAAATTTGAGCTTTGTCAAGGGACTCCCAGTAGATGGGGCCAGGCCAGAAAGAGTTGGCTGTACGTACAGTGGGCTGGGGAATTAGTTGGATATTGAGTTTGTTTGCTTATCTCTTTTGGTACTTGTTTTGTTTTTTTTCGCTTAAAAACTAATTTAGTTTGGCTATGCATCATATATATTATTTTATTTATTCATTTATTTATTTATTATTTATTATTTATTTACTTTTATATTTATTTGCATTTGGATGACTTAGATTATTATTTAGATCGTTTCTTGCTGAACATCTGCATGACTGCTAGTGCTAAGAGAATCCATTTTAAATTATATCATATTTAATATAATATATAATATAATAGAATATGTTATATAATATAATATTAATATTTATAATATTCATCATATTAAGTCACAATTAAAATCAAATATTGAACAAGTTAATCTACCTGTTTGCTAATACCGAAAAAGTAGCCACGAATATATATATATATTTTATATTATTATATTATATGAATATATATATATATTATGGATTTTGTTTTAGCAGTAGTATCAGTAAATTCCATCACTTTTTCGCACTAGTTCTTTTCATTCGCATAATATTTAATCGCAGCTCAAGCAACTAATCCGCCTAGCAGCTATTTTGGTAGACAGCCAGTCAGCTTTGTAACTGTGTTCCCCCAAGTCAAGTTCATCAGTTTCTTGCGTAACTTATGCAGGCCAGCAGCTTTGTGACTGATCAATTAGCACAGCTCTGCCAAAGATCTAATCAACCAACCAACCATCGCATCGAATTGGATCGACTGCTGTTACCAAATGGTTCCTGTGCTTCTATTTTTAGCATTTAATTTCGTTTGAGTAGACCAAAAGTCTGCCAATGAAATGCAACTCGTCAGCGTCGCCTGCTTCCTCTTTGGTTGGCCACACTTTTCCGTCGCTACTTCGGCAGCGTCTTCTTGGGTCTGCTGGCCACGGCCACACTGTTGCCTCTTTTGGTGCTGTGTCTGTCACTCGGTTCGTTGATGTGACAGTTTCTTGGGGTTGCCTTGGGGTCGGGCTCCGGCACTGTCGGTGCCATGCAAAAGCTACGTGACATGCGGATAGTTGGTGTTGTAGCTGCTACTGCTGCTGCTGCTGCTGCTGCTGTTGTTACCACAGCGAAACGTGTTACATTTATGTTAACGCATTTGCACACGTTAGTAGAATGGCAGGGAAATACGTACATACTTACATATACATTTATAATGCCACAAAATTCGAAAATCCACAACCTTATGTAACACACTCACACATCCACACAGACACACAGATGTTACACTTCACTTTTGACTGACAGCCATTTTGACTTGTGTTCCCTGCCCCCTGCCACAGCCACAGCCACTGCTCGGCACATATTCCTGCCCACCCATTTCGAGGGGTAGTACCTCGTCACTTGATCTTACCCAAAAGATTATTATTATTATATTTTTTGTTGTCTCTTTTGCCTGCATCGAATTGCTCTTAAAATATGCACTTTATTTATTTATAGTTATTTATTTGTTCTTCTCGTTTTGCGTTTCTTTTGAGCTGTGTTTGCTTCGCTTTTAGCTGCTGATTTATCATCGCCGCTTTGGCGCTGCCTCTTCGCTGGTGCGCTCTAAACGCTTCTGGCCAGAGTCAGCGTCAGAGTCAGAGTCAGCGTCAAAGTCGGACTCAAAGTCAACAATTCATTTCGCATATATCGCATAAATATGCAAGTCATGCGCCAAACTTAGACGGGAGACAATTGCTGGGTTGGGGCAGGGAAGGCAGTTTGGCCCCCACCCCACCCCTGCCAACAATTCCCTAAACTGTGAGGTTATGTCTGGCTTCCGCATGAAGGGAAGAAAACGCGAATGATAGAAAAGCGATAGGTGGGGAGTACTTGAGGGGCGGGGGGAGGTTGGCAGGAACGAAGAGCAATGTCTGCGGAATAGTGCCAGTAATGAGAATATTTTGGGGTTATCTGTATGCCAGTCGCATATGAAATTTGAGGTTATGATGCGAGCAGAGCGAACATCGTTTTCGGTGGGGTATGAATGAAGGGGTTTGGGAGTTAGATTAAAGCTAAACTGTGCAACAATATTAAGCATATTATAATATATATATAATAAATAATAATAATAATAATAATAATAATAATAATATAATAATAATATAATAATAATAATAATAATAATAATAATAATTAATATATAATAAATATTTAAATCAGAATAATTAAAATAATTAAATAAAATAAATATTTAAATCAGAATAATAATAATAAAAATAAAAATAATAATAATATAATATATAATTAAATATTTAAATCAGATGTTGGGTTTCAGCTTTACTTAGTTAGAGGTACAGATGTAGCTGAACCCCAGAAGGAAATATAAATAAGAGATCCTACAGCACAAGTTTTTAATGCTCTGAAGGAACCAACAAAGGAACCAAAGACCAATGCCATGCCCCGCTCTTCTGGCATTTCCAATTCCATTTTAGGATATCGTAAATTTCGCTAGATCAAAGCCATTTATTTCCCGCACGCTCACACATTGGCTGCAACTCAATTTGTTTTGCAGCTAATTTGTCCCGAACTCTTAGCCAATTGACAATGGGCAAAACCACGCCCCAGTCGAACGCGCCATTAGCCCATTGAACCCCCTTTGAATCACAAACAAATCAAACATCAAATATCGATAGAGAGAGAGAGAGACAAGTGACCAAAAAGCCAAGAGCAACGAGAGGGTTCAACGAACACCACAGAATGAACAACATTCACATTTTGCATAGACAATGCATGAGAGACAAACAACAACAAAAAACAACAACAACAAACTGAATGCGTTACAGTTCAATAGCAGCACGGAATTGAGGGGGTGGGGGGGGATGTGGGGGGTGAGAAATCAGTGTGTACTGGGGGGGCCAATGGGTCGCTTGATCGACTGAGGGGAAGGTCCTCCCATAAGAATGAAATGAAACTCTGTCGCGACAAATACACAACAATGTGGAATACGTAATCAATTGATTCTCGGATGTGTGAGCTGCCTGCCTGCCCCAGCAAATGGGCTGCGACACACTCCCAGAGACAAGGCACACAATACCATACCCCATGCATATGCATAAGTATTGGGCGTATGTGTCTGCATATATTTACATGTGAACCAAGGAAAAATTCAACCAAAACAGACAACAAAAAAAAAAGGGAAGCAATCGAACGAATAATGGGGCAAACCTTGGAGCTAGGGAAACTCAACTAAAACGAGAAACAAAATGCGCATTTATTGCCTATTTATCTGAGCAATCGGTCGGATGAGTATCATTAAATACATATATACATGTGGATAGATATATATGTATATTGAACTTGCTGCCGATGTACGTTTATATGCTGCCTGCAGAAATGGAAATC